AAAACACATCATTCATAACAGAAACAGCTCGCAATAGCCACAGGAACGTTGCTGCAAGACAGGCATATGTAACGACGACTTAGCGCTCTTAAACGCGTGTGTCATTAAATACAGTCCTCCTGACAACAGGCCAGTGAAAAATCTAACAATCTACAGCAAAACCATCAATTATTATGGGCGTTATAACATACGTGTGCAGCTGGACGAAACATACACGTCGAACCCCCCCCAGACGATTTAAATCCCTGACGAAACATACACGACGAACCACGGCAACGGGTTAAATAAAAAGGAAGCACCAGACCACGCATAAAATTCCCAACTCATTCAGTTTACACGAAGCTACATTCTATATTCAAATTAAACATTTGTGTGTTTTATCATCTAATATTTTTGGATTCCATAACCTTAGACTGCACAAATTTTATACACTGTAATCTTACCCCATGGAGGAATCCTTGATGTTTTGTGTGACAGGTACTTTTGCCGATACTTGGCAAGTTTACGTTGAATTCGCAGCTGCTCAGTTGTGTTACTGTGGCCTACCTGCTGGTATTCTATCTGACGCTGTTTAGTACGTAACTGCAGGGCCAACCAATTGCGGCGACGTCTCCTACAAATTATAGTTTCATATTAGAAAAAAATTAAACTTGCAAGACAAGATGACATGGAAAGTGACAACTTTTACAGTAAAAAATGATTCATGTCCACAGTTTCTGCATTCTTGTCTTGCCACAGTAAATTTAACCTTCTGTACAGCTTCATTGTGGTTCTATTTATTCACTCATCTAGACATTGCTTTCTAAGCTTCCTTAAAAAACACTTTGCTAAGGTTTGACATTTACAGGCATGTGTGTGTATGAGTCTCTTATCTGAAGGTTTGAGAACTGATTTCTGGGTTCTCATGAATATACAGAGTGTCCCAGGAGGAATGTGCCAGACTTCGGGAGGGTGTTCCTTACGTTAAATTATGCCTCATAACACAAAACACCTATGTCCAAAGGTGAACGGTTACGGAGATAATGGCCAGAGAAGCGTGAAACTTTGACAGGTGTTACACACCTGTTGATTACCAAATACATATTAAAACTGGCAGGAATATGTGGTTTCTATAATGTTAACAATGTACATAACATTAAACTAACTTGCGAATGACATGAAGCCATTAAACTGAACTACAAAAATACTCGCACGCCATGTCATAGTTGTCGTTAGGGTTCCAAGCACTATACATGACACATGAATACCAAGCACTGACGTAACATTGCTGACTGCATATTCTGGTATGCGAGTGTATGCGGCTAGTGCGACTCGTCATCACCACACTCAAGGACAAACGTTGATAAGAATTATCAGCTGACTGGTATAGTGCGTGAACCCACCAGAAGACCACATTTTTCTCGGGCCATTATCTCCGTAACTGTTCAACTTTAGACATAGATGTTTTGGGTTATATCGGCATACTTTGACATAAGGAACACCCTCCCAAAGTCTGGCACATTCCTCCTGGGACACCCTGTATAAAGCGTAATGTGAGTTAGCACTGCTTTACTAACAAATAAGACTGTATCAAACCGTTCAACGTAATTTTAACTTAACTTCTGCCTTACAGTAATCATACATTTTCTAATACATTTTTATCTGAAACCAAAGATTTCAGAAAAGCATGCTTCCTCAATTGTTATGGTTTATTTGTACTCTGAAGCTGGAGACAGTATGTTCCCCTGAAACACTGAGTACCAACTACTGAACTACCACATGGAATCACAATCCAGAAGGCCACAGATTGGACCTTCATAGCCATGAAAACCTCAAATCTCTAATAAATTTTAATGTGACAAGTGATATTTTCTGGCATTACACTGTAGGATTTGAGGTTCTCATAGTACTCTCTTTTGGAATATAACACTGTGTAGTCAGTTGAGAGTCAATTGACATTTTGGAGAAACATGTCGCCTCCATCTTCAAGGTTGAAGAATAAGGTGAGCAAGAATCCAGAATGAAAGCAGGTGGCAATCAGAGCAAATGTAGTGTGTGTAGGCTGATGGACTGGTAAATACACGCCATATCCAAACCCATGCATTGAAAGATGACACTAGTAGCCTGCGTTCCTCACAGCTAAGTGGCTGAAGGATCTGAGAGGCTCTCACCCAACCTCTCCATATAAAAATTCCCGAAGAACTTCATATGTAAGAGATAATTCCCTCAAAACATTTCTTGACTATGTAGTTTAAATACAATTCCAAAAGATACCAGATGCTCTACAATACGAGTATATCACATTTTTTAAAATACAATTTTGACATTTCCCACTTGGAGGGTTAATTGAGATCAGAGTATCAATATTTTTTGTAGTTTACCTCATAAGTGCTTTGTCAGTGTGCATTTTGCAGTGGGCATAGAAGGGATCAGCCTGGTCAACTTCCTCAGAATGAGCTTCTGACAAAAGTCCTTCCCTCTGAGCACTGTAACAAGGAACACATTTCACAGTTAACAGAAAGTCCTGCTACAGGCTAAAGCAAGATGCCCTTCACTACATGCATCCATTTGTAAGACTTACAAATTGCCTTCAAATGTGTGCAGAAACATAAAAATGAATACTGACAATACTGAATTCTGATAGAAGTACAGTCTGCACACAGTCATGATAAAGTGAAACCTATACATAATGACATAGCCGGGGTAGCTCAGTCAATAGACTATCAATAGACTATGCCATAGGCTTCCTTAGAAGGGCGAGGCCTCTTCCCTCACTGTCATGTCCAGACCTCGTCCAGGGCATTGCCAGCCTCCTATCCAATGGAGAGAAAGGACTCCTTCCCAGGAGCACAGTAGAGTGGGTACGAAGCTGACCAGTCACGCCCACCTCGTACCACCTTATCACCTCCCATCCTGGGAATTCTCCAACTCACTTTCCTGGCAAGCCAACAATTTCTTGCACTACACTAACAGTCTGCAGTATTTTACACTAAAGCAATCAAGTAGCACACAATCTGCATATATGGTCTGACAACAAAGTCCGAGAACTCACTGCAGTCAAAGTGCTACAGGGTTGTTCAAATATCACCAGGACCGATTTCTTTAAAAAAAAAACCATAATTACCAAACACTTACTTGCACATGTCAGTCTTCAATGTACTCCCCTCCAGAGTCAACATATTTTTTCCAACGTTCTGGAAGCACCCTGATACCCTTTTCAAAAAAGGCTTGTGGTTGGTGGCGTATCCACTCCTGAACAGTCTGGATGACGGCATCATTGTCCACAAACCGCATGCCTTGCAAGTCTGATTTGAGCCGTCCAAAAGGGTAGAAATCACTTGGGGCCAAATCGGGACTGTACTGCAGATGTGTCAGAAGGTTCCATTTCAATTTCCGGAGGGTTTCCATTGTTGTTTTGGCCATATGGGGGCGTGCATTGTCTTGAAGGAAGGCTACCTGCTTTCCACCTGTCTTCTGCTTGGATCAGATCTTTTCCTTCACGTCTGTTTCCAGGAGGTCTGAGTAATAAACTGCACTGACTGTTCTGGCATCTGTCAGAAAGTCTACATGGATAACCCCCTGCCAGTCCCAGAAGAACGTTGCCATCACATTTCCTGCCAAACGGCTCCTCTGCGCTCTCTTGGGTTTGGGAGAACTGGTATGCCACCACTCGCGTGATGACTGCTGGGACTCTGGAATGAAGTAGTGCACCCACGTTTCATCGGTGGTCACTATAGACTTCCAAAATGCATCACCTTCATCTTCAGACTGCTGTAGGAGATGACTGGCAGCTTGCATGTGCACCATTTTGTTCACGTCTGTCAAAGTGCATGGTACCCACTGTGCATTCACCTTGCGATAGTGCAGGTGGTATTTCATGGTGTCTTCTACACTACCAACACTGATGGACAGCATTGCTCCAAGTTCCCTGATAGATAAGCGCATCTGCACGATCAGTGTTTCGCTTGGTGATGGATGTTTGTGGCTGACGATCATGCGGTTCATTCTCCACGCACTCTCCGCCCTCTATGAAGCACTTACACCACTCAAACACACGAGTCCGTGAGAGACACTCTTCCCCATACTGTTCTTGGAGTCTGTGGTGAGTTTCAGCGGACGGGACATTTTCTCCGAGGAATTTGATCACAATGCGTTGTTCCAAGCTCGACGGTACCTTCTGTTCACTCATCACTCTAGCAACTCCCAGACAGGACTGAACATGTTCTAACCCAAACAGGAGGGAGGGTGGAGGTTCTGGCTTCACTCTCTCAAGGTCGCACAGCTGCTGCTCAGTGCGGTTTGTTTACACACAAATCAGTCCTGGTCATATCTGAACCACCTTGTACATACCTCACTGCTGAATATCACTGGGGTTGCCTTCAAAGTACTCCCTTTGGGAAGCTATGCAGTGATGCCAGCATCTAGGCCATCCTTTAAAACAATTTTGGAACTGGTTTTGGTGAATGGTCTTCAGAACTGCAGTTGTATTACCCCTGATGTATCAATGTCATCAAAATGCCTTCCTTTCAATATTTCATTTATATTCAGAAACAGAAACAAGTCACTGGGGACTAGATTTGGTGAATAGGGTGTTCCAGCACAGTTATTTGTCTACTACCTAAAAACTCCCTCACAGACAGTGCTCTGTCAAGTATCCAGCTTTACTGCCACAATGAAATGCAGTTCAATAGTGTGTGAATATGGTAACCATGTATTTTGCCTGATGATGGCTTTAAAAGCCGAAACATGTAGCTAAGGTAATGTTGACCTTGACCATTACGTTGTTGTGTTATGATGGATTCCAATAAAGAATTATAATTAAGCATTATGCCATGAAAACATGGGGATATGGATCCACATTTTCTTGACCTTGGCCCCAGAGCCAGTCTGCATGACATGGAAAAGAGAAAATTCTTGACCCTACTAGGCCTTGAACTATGACCCCACTGTCATCCAGCCCGTAGTCAGTCACTATACTGACTGCACTATCCCAGCTCATAGTCACTTATACACATGATAATATAATGGAGACCTTTATAGAAAACAATGTATAACACAGCAAAAGAGTTTAGCTAGAAGAAATGTTTAGACTAAATTTGGACAGTCTCATATTTAGATACCCACCACGTAACATGAAAGAAAGTGCGACACATTCCAGCATCACACCCTATGCAGACACCAGTGCGACTGAAGCGTGCATCTTCGCAGAGACAGCAAGTTTTAGCACCCCACTTGCTGTATGGCATCTCAAACAAGGTCACACTCGAAAGCTTGTCAACCTCACCAAATGCAACTCCAGGCACATATAAAGCACATACTAAATGAACCCATTTGCCAACATCCGTCTCCTTGAAGATACCGCCTGCAAGATCAAGAAACATTACTGTATATTTTGTGGTTTCCCTCAGTGCCACCATCCAATTGCTTGGATAGGACCTCAATCAGGCCATGGCTGCTTCCTTCCATATCCTTTCCATTCATCAATCATCCCACCATTCAGTAGCAGGGTACCTCATAAGTACAAGACTAGAGAAAAAATTGCCAGACTAAAAAGCTGGAGGAGTAATGTTACCTGAATTTGGACATAATTCACATGTAGGATTTGTGACCCCAGCACGACATGCTTCACAAAACCACGGTTCTGTTGAACATGATGATATTGTGCTTGACACACTTGCTGTGTCAGATACTCCGTAGCAACCTTAAAAAAAATTAGAACATCAAGATACACTTCTTTAAGTACACAGACAGTACTTGGGACAGTACATGTAAAACATGATTACAGATTTTCTTACCTTCGTGAACAGTAACTCCGCAACCATCACATTCAACAATTTCATTTGCGTCATCACTCCTGTCGCCCAAGCAGCCACAGCATATGAGAACTTTCACGGCCTCCTTCAGATCGAACTGCAACAAACACACGGTCACTACCAAACATTTAGACACAATTCTGTATATCAGATACTCCACCCCAGTCAAACTTGAACTCAGATATGATGCCACTGAGCTTAGTTAAGAGGTAAGGTATAAATAAATCAACCTAACACTCTTTTCATGAGCTTCGATACCATCATGAATGGTAATGGGGTGTATGATTGGGGATCAGCTCCTGGCAGGGAGACGGCCTTTTAATAACTTTCCTTCCGTAAGGAACTTGAAAACTAAACAATTTGTGATGAGTAGTTTGTACAATAACTAGGCTACTGACTTGACAACTAAAGAATCATAGTTTGATTCCTGGCAAGGGGAAAGGATTTTTCTCTTCTTCACAACATCCAGACCAGCTATGAGGCCCACCCAGCTTTCTGTCGAACAAGTAGCAAGGGCTCGTTCTCTAGAATACATGGAAGTGTACTTGAGACAGACGTATGACAGCTAAACCGAGATGTGGAGGGGGTTGATTTATGGAATGTTTCCATGACCTATGTACAGTGGTTTAAGCGGCCTCCGTAGTCTAGGGGTAACGTTCCCACCCCATGACTAGGGACCGGATTTTAATGCAAATGCATATTTCTTTCTTGCAACCAGAAAGTATGCTCGTTTGGCTATATGTATGAATTACTTCATTTCTTAAATTTTGGACATGGTTTGATGGTGCATATGAATGCATATTTTGCCCATTTTATGAATAAGCATCATATTTTCGAAGATCTCTATTTATACTGCATATTTCATTTTTAAAATGTTTATAATATATATTTTTTAATTTTATGTTCAAATTTTCACTCATGGTCATGTGAGTACAATTTTAGGCAGTAAACATACTGAACTGCCAAGTAAAAAATCCCTAACAGTGCAGCAAATAGCGGCTTTTGTACACGTGCCCCTAAGTTCCTGTGAGGTGGAAAGAAGTTTTAACCCGCTATAAGGACACCTTACGAGACAGTAGGAGGCGACTAACTATGGAATACCTAAAACATTTAGTAATTGTGAACTGCCACAGAGGAGAGGTTGAATGTTCGGAGAGCTAAATGTGAGTGTGATTGGTTTTTTTTAAATTTGTAATGAAATATGCTGGTTTTGTTGCATGATTTATATTTAAGTATAGCATTTTATTGCAAGTGAAACATTCAGTGACTGCATAAAATGAACTTAAATATTGATTTGTTGGTCTTAAAATAATGTAAAATCAATTTTAATATTTGGTACAAATTTTTATATGCATATTTTAGTGCATATTTCGGAAGTTTTTCATGCATAAATGCATACATATTTAAAGGGTTATTAGGGCATAAAAATCCGGTCCCTACTCATGACTCAAGGTACGTGGGTTCAAACCCGGCGGAGGTCGTGGAATTTTTAAGGGCGGAAAAATTCAGGGAACAAGTCCTCCAGGAGGGACTTTAAGCCGAGGGTCCTGTGTTGTATGTAACTTTACGGCACGTAAAAGAACCTAATGTCTCAAGGAGACCACTGAGCCAAATTTGTAAGGACATTTCCCNATAATAATATAATAATAATAATAATAATAATAATACTGTGGTTTGTTTAATGATATTTCCAGTATCAATACTACACAGTGTTCAATGGTAGGATGACTGATGATTGATGAATAATTTCCGGAAATAATTTGCAAGGAAGCAATCGTGGCCAGTTAAGGTACTATCCTGGCATTTGCCTGAAGGATTGAGGGAACCCATGGAAACCCTCAGTGTCCCAGTGTCCCTACTGAGATCCAGGTCTTGCATTCCCCACGTATCAGTCCACAGCATTACCACTATGGCAATCCTTTCAGTGCCTCTATGCAAATACACAGTTCTCTCCCATCTTCATCGGGTTAAATCTCAAACAACAATTGCAGTATGTGAGATGGCTCACAGTAAGATATAACTCCTGTTCCCACTCCTCAGGGGGAACACACTGTACTTAAATATCACCTCTTCAATCCCTTCTTTCACATAAACTTAAACATCACCAAGTGCCACATTAATATAATTTCCAAGTGATCTACTCAAAATTTACTCCTTAAATTTAAGACCAAATTTTCCAGAACAGGCATTCCAATGTTCACAATTTCTGAAGCCCAAGACAATTTCGCTTCTTACTAATAACTATCATTTCTCTAAGGGTTCACTACATGTTACAGAGGACAACACAACATACACTTCCAAAATAGGGAACACTGAACTAAAGAAGTCTCTTACTATAATGAACAATACTTATGTATTAGCAGGTTACCTAAGTAACTTCGAAATTTTACCACCACAATGTCTGCCAGTCAGCACTGCCAAGTGCAGAAGTTTATTCATAAAAACAAGACACAAAGCCTATAAACCTTAGAATTTGCCTCCATCAAGGGCACAACATTAGGGTTTCAGTTTTGTTTTTAAAATTTTAGGCCTCAGGTTCCAGTTTGTAAAGATTAACACTTCACCGCGAGCAGGCATTTAAATTCCTACTCAATTGTTATGCCAGAGGATATTTAAATATTTAAATTGGAGAGTGCAACATTTCACTTAAAGTTTAATAAATTTGGAAAAACTGGAGGTTTGTTTTTCTAATTTTCACACTACGTTCAGAAATGTATATAGAATTGGTGTCTTGATCCACACTGCTTTAAAATTATTTTCTGGCACAGTAAGCCTATAAAAATTATGAATGATAGTATCATATTACCTTAGAAGTTCAGCTGGGTGTGTTAGTCTTGAAAACATTCCACACAGAGTCCCACGTATCACACCAGTAAACAGATTTGCCACACAACACGCCATTTCTGTGGTTTTGAGTTCTTAGCAGTTGGTGGAATCTTGCTTATAAAATTTCTTTCTCTTAGACAGGGCACTGTTTTGTCGAACAAATGTCGACCTGGCACTTTGTGTTCTATAGGATTAGCATATTTCACAGAGAGTCCCTCAATTGACAGAATTCTGATTGATAATTGATCTATTCTTTACCTTGTATTATTCCTACATATCAACCCATTCAGAAATTTTCTTTTTGCCCCTTATAGTTTTGCATATTCTCCCAATGGATGTTTGTGCTATTCTCGATTCTGTCATTTACCACAGAACCGAGAAAAGCACAAACATCCATTTTCAGTGTCTGGCACAACACAGCTGGCCAATTTGTTCCTTGCAGCTGGCCTTGGCTAACCAGACCGCACGATGCCTATTTGCAGAACAAAGGGGAATTACAGTAGTTTCATTCATATAGTGAACTGCTTATCATTTGCTGTAGTAGCAGTCGTAACACACTTCTAGAGTCAACATCACGTCTCAAAGTCGTAGATTCTCCACGTGTCTTCTCGTAGTTACAGATACCAATGTTGAAGCAGCACAATTCAGAATATGCCTCAAGAGAACTGACATTTCATTCGATCAGAATAGAGGTCAGCACACAGTATCGATCTCACATATTTAGTTCATAAGAATTCCCCTAGGCAGAGGTAGGTTTGTATGGTAACAAGTGCACAAAGTGTTGAAATTGAAAACTTTTTCAAAGAATTCAAATGTATGACAACTCCCGCGGCAAGTTCAAAGTGGGACTACGAATATACGAAATGATAGCCTGAAATTTCCTCTTTAATTTCATACCAAAAGAATTACTTTACATGAAAAACAAATGTTCAAAATATGAGCTGAAACTCAAAGCTGCAATATGTGTGCGGGGAACGGAGCCCAGCGACATGTGACAAAATCCTCTGGCGTGCCAGGTACGGAGCCCATCGCTGAAGGGTTAAGCTTTTGGTTTGGTTTTTAAAATGTTAGGCCTTTGGTTCAACTTTGAAAAGGTTAGACTTTTGGTATTCTTCTTAAAAATAAATATCTAAAACCTTTCTAATGCTAGGACTTGGGTTTTGTTTTTACAAATAAACTTTTAATGTTGGAAGTGCAGACATGATAGTAACTGCTAAAGTTACCTAGACCCCCTGCTACTATGTGGGTGCCCACTGAACAATTAGGGCATTTAGGTTCTCATGTCCACTGTGAAGAATCACCTGATGTTTTGTCTCAGCTTGCCGTTGTTTCGCTTGCTGAATCACGTCTCCAATTGTTACATTCTGTTGGAGAGTCACTGGATGTTTCACATCTGGGAGGATTTCTCCAGCACTGTCTTCTGAATCTTCGGCATCATCATCATCATCCTCATTATCATCTTCATCTTCATCATCATCATCATCATCATCTTCATCTTCATTCGCATCATCTGTCAAAAAAAAATTTAAAAGGTCTAATTGTCATTTTTAGTATCTCTTAAAAACAGCCATACTGACAGATTAACAGGTAATTCAAGCAGGCTGTTTCGCCATGGGTAAAGCAGCAAGGGTATGACACTGACCACTCACCTCCATTTAGTGCTGATGTCAAAAATGTTGGAGCTATACGTTCACTATCCCATATGCCTTCATGGTGTAGTGCTTAATTAATTAAGCATATGCAAAACTTTACCTTTTACTAGTATACATCATTTCTCTGATGCATCCTTATAAGTAAAAATCAAGTGGCTGCAGATCAGGAGAGCAGGTAAAGCCATCAGACTCCCCTGGATAATTCATTCATAAGCTGGAAGGTTGCTGGATCGAATCCTGATGAGGTCATTGGATTTTTTTTTTCAGTTTACCTAATCCTTTCAGCCACACTATGGCCCTGAGGTCAACCCAGCCTCTAACAGAAATGAGTACCAGAAATATTCTTCGGAGTAAAGGGTGGCCAGTGCATAGGGCTGACAACCTTACTGCCATCTATGAGCTGATTGTCTAGAAAATGTGGGAACCTCAACATCTTAAAACCCTATGGGCCTTCAAGGCCTGTTACAGGGATACCTTTACTTTGCTTTTATGTCCACAAAATGGCTGTTCAACTAGTTACACATCTGGCACAAAAATGGGGAAGAGATGTTGTCATGCTGAAAGTACAAGGCCTCACGTACATTATGGGGTACATTCTCCAATAAATGGGAAAACTTCGTTTCAGGAAAAACAGCATACTGGATTCCAGAGACAATTCACTGCCATGTCCATTTCGGTAATCATAAATGATTCTGGCCTGAACACTAACATTGCAGGTTTGTTGAAACGAAAATTTCTTTTGTAACATCAGGGTTCTCCAGTGCTCATTCATGTAGGTTGTGGAGATGGACTGCCCCACCCTTTGTGCACACTGCCTTATCAGTCCACAATACATGACACAAGAAGTCCAGTTCATCACATTTGTGCAGATGCCATCAAGAGAACTGGAAGAGAAATGCTGTCCCTGGCTGTAGTCCTTGTTCAAGTTACAGACAAAATGCATACAGCTGCTCCTTATACAGGTGTGGCTTTTAACATATGACACTTTAAAATTTGCAGAACTTCTTTGTTATTGAATGCAAATCTATGAAACTTTAATACATCACTCTACACACAGCAAAATTTGTTTGCTGACATTGGAAACACATACAACTGATGTTATGCCATTGTATATGACAGATCAGTAAGTGTTTGCCATCAAAACTTTTTCATTCTTCTGGTGGTTTTTGTGTTGGTGTGGAGAGACAATATCATCAAGAGTTTTCTGTTCAAGTATCACCAACAAGAGCCCCTACGTAACAGTCTGAAGAAACAGGAAGTTTGTGTGCGATAAAATGCAGAGGGATGTAAGCACAGTACACGTGTTTGTAAGAAAAGTGTCAGAGCAGCAATGGGAGCAATAACAAGAAGTCCAAGAAAAAGAGTATGATATTGGAAATTTGTTGAAATGACATGTCACTGTTTCTGTTCAAAACACAACAGAGTCAGCCAATGACAGCAGATGGAACAGCAAGACATTATGCTTTTTTGAAGGAGTACAAAGTGATACTAGAGGATAACACAGGTTTCTTAAATGTCACATGATCCTCAAAAGAAGCACACCTCCACTTGAATGATTATACTGACATTCAAAATTTCCAACTATGGGCATCACAGAATTCAAGGCTTACCAGTCCCAACCCACAGCATCTGGAGAGAATTACAACATGGTGCGAATTCAGAATACTTGGCCATTTATTCAATGATAGTACAGTCACTTCTGGCATTTATCTCACTCGGCTGAGCAATGAATTTGTCTCTTTCCTGATTAAATGGGGCATGACAGTGAATTCAGCCTGGTTTCAATAAGACAGCACCAGATCTCATGCCTACACATGCACTTACTGTTTCTTCGAACAGTTCAGCAGATAGTGTCCCCCGGTGGTGCAACATGAACAGGAAACTCTCAATGCCTCTGTTTCTCCACAGCAAAACAAGAAACATCAGAATAGCAAATAGTTTTGACAACAAACACTTTCTGATCTGACATGTATAATACCATCTTATTACTTAGCTCTACACTGCCAATGGTAACAAACAAATTTCCCAAGTGTAGAATGATCTGTGAAAAGTTCATACAACTGTGTTCAACGGCAAATAAATTCCACAATTTTAAGTTGTCACATGATAAAACAAACACCCTGTCCATTGTATGACATCCTGCACTCTAAGAGAGGTCTGTTTCATATGCAACCCAACAAATGTTAGTCAATGGATTTGGCTATAAAAGATCTAACACTTCCGCTTCATTCTGCACACTGCATCTTCTATGGTAACCATGTGATGGTGGCATGAATGCGCCTGTTTCTCCTAGACTGCAAAGTACCAATGCTGTACATGTGTTTGGGTTCCTCTAAACTGGATACCAATGCTGCTATTCCCTCAGTGCAGCTCTAGCACTTAGATCACAAAAGCCATACACGAAATGCATATCAACATACCCTGCATTAGTGAATCATGCTATCACATTTCACTATTACCAGTACTGTACCAAGAGAAGAAATGTCAGCCGTAAGTAAACGCAGTATGAGCACCATTTTGGGCCACTATGGAGCCACAACATGAACATACAAAAACACAAGACTAAAAGTTCTTTAAACACCATAACTCTGGAAGTGTTGCAAATGGAACACCTGTCTGTTTACATTTTCCTCTTCCTAACTATATCCTCAATAACGTCTAGTTTGGCAATTTGACTTTGAAACGCTTTCTACTATACAATATACTTTAAATTCCACAGCTCTTCTTTATATCCTTTTATTAAAGTAATTTCAAACGTGTGTAGACTGCAGAGACTTACCTTTTGTCCCACCATCGTCGTCTGAATCTATAGAATCATCGTCAGACTCCTCAAAGTGATCTTCTATGCGAAAGTCACTGTCATCAGAACTCTCTCCCAGATCAAAATCCAACAGCGACTGGTGGGCTGGTCCAACGGGCTTTACCCTGCGCTTTTTTGGGTCTCGTTCAACTGAAAAAGTTACCATAGGGACAAACTAGCATAACTTTCAAAATTATCCAATCAAATCTTACAAGCCTAGCGGCATTTCCCTTTCGGCAATGTGTTTTAAAAATGACACATATAAGACATATTCCATTTTATTATACCTATCATAGCAGCAGAAAATAGTATGAAAGCAGTCTGTATAAATTAATATACTTTAATACAACATACATCCACTCATATTACTCAGACAAAATTAAATATTCTGTTTTGCACTCCCATTTACACACTAATCTATTATGGCATTGTGCGCACGAAGATCTTCAACTGTCACTACGGATTGCACTCCATGCGCATACGGAAAATTTAAAGGTCGAAATTTTCCAACAAAACCGCGGTGTTCAACGATAACTTCTTTTGACCGAGAAACTGGCATTGAATATATCCACTGTGTTAAAACTTCACATTACAAACCCATTGTTTTATAAAGAAATCCTATATCATCAGCATCCCGATCTTGAGGCATTTTTCTTTCTTAAAGGCTACAACTTACTACACAAATCATAAACTTTTACACAAATCATTTCATTTTTCCACGGAATATACAGACAAGCTATGATTACTAAACAGATTCAGTGTCAAAATATATCACATAGTTCAAGTCTGTTACAGAATAATACTGTTTTGTCTATATGAAAGCACAATATGAAGATTCGAAAATGTATTGAATTGCATAGATTCCAGCCCGCGTAATTTGAAATAAGTACAGTCGAAGACTATAAAAATGGTCCTTATTCATACCTAGCATATACTGAAGTCTAACCATACATAACCAGGCAGAATTAGCATTATCTATGGAAAACTTATCGTCCATATTATTAAGATTTTAGTTTATTTATTTATTTATTTATTTAGTTTCTACACCTACTCACACATTACTACAACAAATTTTCATGGCAATAATTCACTGTGTATCAGGCAATGGGAAGATGGCCTCTAACTATTCAGATGTCCCTAATAAATTACTTATTAGCATAACAATTTTCAGAATTTTTATTTCAGCATTACAATATTTATCAACAATTGCTTGCCAGCAATCGTTTTACCTAGTTCTTTTGAGATTGAAATTGCCATTGCAAAGTTGAAAAAGTTTACATAAAATTCCAGTAGAATCCATACAAGCAGGTGGTTAGACATTATGTTCTGAGATCCATAAACTCATTAATTCTATTTGGAATAAGGTAGAACTGCCTCAGCAGTGGAAGGAGTCCATTAATTGTCATTTAGAAGAAGGGCGATAAAAATGATGGCATAATCATAGAAGAATATCACTGCTATCAACTTCATATAAAACTTTATCCAATACTCTTCTCCAAAGGTTAAGTCCATATGCAGAAAGTTCATTATTGTATACCCTTAGGTCAGGGGCTGAGGAATAATTTGATAGCAGAATTTTACCAGTTGCCATGGGAGGCTATGTCACTTGCCACCCCGACACTTCAAGTAGTAGAATAGCTCAGCAGATGCCGTGCTCATCCTGAGCAACGGTACGAAGACTCAACAGCAGGGCCTGCCTCCCAGAGCCGTGGCAGCAGCACACTGGAGCCTAGCCTTCATCGCTTTCTCAGCCTTCCTAATTGGGTAAATCCATGACATGTTACGGGTGCTCAGAGAGATACACACAGAAACCCAACCTAGAGCTAGTTACAGAAGTAGCTAGCATAACTTAACTCAACTTCAGTCAATGTACCTATAAGTATGTAGATTGTGTACAATAATAATGCAAACAGAGAACTGCAGTGACTCAAGCTTATTCCTTAATAACTTCCCATCTTCGAGGAGACGGAAACGCTACCAATATGAATAGTTGGGGTTTGGAGTATACCACAAAGCCTGAACCCTACTCTCACTGTAGGATTCCTAGTCCACACTGACCCTTTGTGCAGTTGATGGCTATCAGGTTGGAAGCAGTGGGTTATATTTGTTTGCTGGAAATATAATGAACCTAAATCAGTCAACTGCATTACAGTGGTGCCAGCAGTTAGGATAGTATAGTACACCACTTCGGAACAGTTTCCATGCCAGATCATTTCTTAACACTGCCTGTAATCGGGTTATAGCTATCCTATTACATACCCATATTTCTGTTCCATAAATTAATTCAGGCACGTAATACCACATTTGAAGTTCTCACAATTGTAACTAGGAACACTACTGTCTTTTGTGATGTGTCGCCATATAGTTCAGTAGACGTTCACCAATGTTTTGGAGGAACATACTGTTTCCATCTTCAGGGCAGAAGAGTAAGCCAAACAAGTAACAAGCAAGAAGCAAGTAGCAAGCAGAGCTCTGGAGGTAGCATGCCTCCCTGAAATATCAGTGAACTTCTAGCAGACCATCTGGTGTCACATCCTAGATGACGGTCCTCCCCTTAGGAAAGTAATATTTTGTAAAACAACATTTTGTGTCATTTCACAATTCCACATCATTAAATTAACAATTGCACACTGTATACAGTAGCATATCTCCCTGAGCAATGAGTTCAGAAAAATATATAGAATTTTAAGTTCTCATAGCAGCGGTTATGAAGATATCTGGCCTCTTGGATATGGCATAGCATTGTCCATTGAAAGTTAACCTACATTTCAGAGATACGTTTCATATTTAAGGTTAAATAATAAGTCAAGCAAGAAATCAGTACAAAGCAGGTAACAAGTAAAGCTGTTCCTCTGAAATTTTGGTAGACTTTCAAAAGACTACACAGTGGACACATCCCTGAAAACTATTCCCACAGCCCCCAGGCAGGGCACATTTAGTTCCACTAGTTTGCTAAGTTTGAAAGACGAAGAACACACTGTGAAATTTGAAAACAATAACAAAGGCAAACTACGTTAACTGGGTCCCTCGTAAACATGGCAGGTAAATCCTCAGGTTGCAGATGGAGAAGACTGTCTCCAGACATGGTTGGTAGCTGCGAATATACTGAATAAGCAGTAGTGGACAGCCAACAAAGGGTGGTCCTGCAGCTTTGGGATTGAGCGTGGGGCTAACCACTCACCTTAAAAAGTAATTTTGTTACAAGATGTCACAAAGGGTCTTGGACTTGGGACAGATTTTTTTAATAAACAACCTAAGCTAGGGAAAATGGATATCATACTTGGCACATGGAATGTAAGAAGTCTATATAGGTGAGATTCATTCATAACAACTGTGAGAGAAATATCAGGATATTGTCACGTGTTGGGTATGTCACACGACAAATAACTTCACGTGGGTCTCAGATTTAGCAGATCTTTATTGGACACTCGTGCTTACACACCTTACAACTATTATCGCTTGCAGTATCACTTGACTTCTGGCCCAATACTCAAATGTGAGGTCTCAACTATCCTTGGCCGTGGTTGGCTCTCAACTGTCTCTAGCGGTGGCTATCCCAAGATTGTCTTCTCAATACTCCAGTCCCCCAGTACTCAATCTCAATATTCTATTACTCCATATTCTCCATAGTCACATTATTAAATACATCATTCTTGCTAATCTTTTATCCAAATGCCTAAAGGACTAAAATTTGTCAACAATAAATAATCACCAGTCACTCAGGTTATGAAGCATCCAACAGGACCAACGAAATATGAACAAGGAAGGACTCGAGAATACCACAAAGAACCTCACTCAGATAGGCGATCCCTGGCGAAGTACTTGTAACTTCTGACACAATATAGCTGTGCCAGTCATCTTGACAGAGTTCACAGTGACATGTAGTATCACCAGGGTGCATTCATAAAGACGGGAGACCACAGCTTTAATTCAACAGAGTGGGACAAGGAGATTAAGTTTAGCAATCCCTTTATTGTTATAATCAGTCAAGAGAAAACTGGAGTACATTTATATTTGGTTTAGCTGTGACAAGCTATGTATTTCCCATCTAAAAATAATACTGTATATATTTCTAATCTTTGTCTACAAAGTCACAGTTCTTTAAGACTGAAACTTCTAATATCTACTCAGTATATCTTATAGCAGTTGTAATGGGCGAAATAATATTCCTACAATGTTTAAACATCAATCAGTATTTTACAAAATGTGTTGGCCCCAATTATTAACACTGGCAACAGCTATTTCTAGTACAGTATACTCTTCTGTAACAATCAGCCAATTTAACAACAACTTAACTGAGAGAGAGAATTTGTAATATGCAGTGGACCTTCATTCATATGGATTTCATACAGGTAATCACTAAAGACAGAGAACTAAATTCTAATACTGCAGACAATTTAGACTTGTGCAGCATCAGTGCAGCAAGCACTCCCTGCACACAATGAATCAATCTTGAAGACAGTGACAAAATTCTGCAATAAATATATGTTATCAGTACAATGAAAATAATTCCAGGCAGAATTCATTACAGAGCCTACAAATAAGATGTAATTCAGCACATGAATAAACAAGCTGGACTTGGTACCTGTACTAGGGTGTTCATACTTCCAAATCCTGTTGTTGTTGTTATTATCATTTGTAACAGCAGCAGAAGCAGTAGTAGAAGTAGTAGTAGCAGCAGCAGTAGTGGTAGTAGTAGCAGCAGCAGTAGCAGTAGTAAAGTAAAAGTAAAGCTATCCCTGTAACAGGCCATGAAGGCTCATAGGGTTGTGAGACGTTGAGGGTCCTACATTATCTAGACAATCAGCTCAAAGATGGCAGTAAGGTTGTCAGCCTTATGCGCCGGCCACGCTTTACTCCCCAGGAAAATTATTTAATTAATTCCTGGTACTCATTTCTGTTAGAGGCTGAGTCGAACCCAGGGCAATAGTGCAGCTGGAATGATTAGGTCAATTGAAAAAATCCAATGACCTCATTGGGACTTGAACCCGTGACCTTCCGGCTTGTAGCATAGTGCAGCAGTACTAGTAGTAGCAATAGTAGGTTAGCTGTGATGTAGTAGTGGTGGACTAGCAGTGGTGGTAGTAGTAGTAGTAGTTTATTGGTTGTTGTGGTACTCTGGTAGTAGTAAGTTGGTGGTGGTAGTAGTAGGCTGTTGGTGGTGGTAGTAGTAGCAGTAGCAGTATCAACTTATTACTGAACTAGAAATTGGTCTACTTCAAAGTTTCATATTATCACCATGTTTCAAATAGTGATGACTTATAAAAAGAACTTTTTGGCATATTCACAAAAAAAAGTTTAAAAATGTGTGTGTTAACAATTCTGTATTCTAGAATCAGGTGTTGTGATGAAGTGTAATGATTTTTTGGAGGAACGTGATGACTACATCTTCACGGTAAAACAGTAAACTCAATGTGGAAGGAAGTGGTAAGAGTATAAACCACAA